TTGATTCAATCTTCCGATTCAACGAGCAACAATAACGTAACGCATATAAGGAAGAAAAAGACGAAAGAAATGCGTCCCGCATTGTTTATGGCTTATCGACTTCATCGCAGAACTTTCTCGACAGCCCCGTTTCTCTGTCCGTAATTAACAGCTTCCCAACGTGCATCGTCGCGTTACACACGATGAGAACAACAAATGTATGAGTGCGCATGTGTGTGTGTAATAGTATTCCTGCCATTTGTAAAACGCAGGGCTCTTGTCACAGGTAACTACATACCTGACGTATCTTGTATGCAAATGATCGTATCTTATGTACTGATACAGGATGAGAAGAAAATTGCTAATTAACGTTTATTTTCTAAAAATAAAGCTTTTTAAAATTTATAAAAATTTTCCTTATAAACGAATACTTGCATTCATTGTACATAAAATGTCCCTAAAATAGATTGTCAAAGGAGAATGAGTAAAATTATCAGATTTTGGCCTAAATAATGGAATCTTTTTTATGCATGTGTGTGATTTCTTATATTTTTTAATGTGCTGAATCTTTAGCTTGAATAATTTCAAGCTAAACTGATGGAAAATATTGAAAGTTGGAAACAAAGATTAGATTTTGTGCGAAATTGTGCTATTTTTAATGCAATTTTCAACATGTTCCCAATAGGTCAATTTAAAATAAATGTTTGCAAATGATTCAGCACAGGAAAAAAATATAAGAAAAAAAATTCTATTATTTATGTCAAATTCTGATAATTTTACTGATTAGGAACATATTCAATTGTATATTTTTTCTCATAAGGATGACAGAATATTATATCCTACTCTGTTGCAGATTTAAAAAATTCATTCTCTCTTTAAATTATAAATATTTATGATCTGTGAAGTTTTATAAGAATATAATTCATAAATGATTAATCTTAATGAATTTCTTTTTTTCTTAAAAATATGGTCCAAAATGGTTTCTTTTGCAGCTTCTTTTCATTCCTGAGATAAATAAAAAGTCTGCTCCTAAAGTTTATTTCAGGGATATATATGTATATATAGATACACATCCGTGTCCAATATTTAGTGACAGCGTCATATGGTAGCAGACACCTGCTACGCATAGAACGCAGTTATACGTATGCGTGTGCGTACATGGTTGTATAATGGCTACGAGTTTATCGAACGAGGGAAGAACGAATGTGGGAGCGTGTTATTTCTTGGCGCGACCGAGAGACTTTATTCCTGGAGATTTTTCTCCCGCGTCAGGTCGGAAGAAGCCGTTGAGGAGAGAAGTATTGTATTATTTTTCTTTCCACGATGCTTCTCGATATGCATACATATACGCGAAACGAAGAACCCGGACAATAGCGAAGGGAAACGACGATGAGAATCGTGCGTATGAGAAATATATATTATTTAATTTCGCGCATTGCTCGAATTTCAGCAGATCTGTTGTGACTATCATGGTAGACTACATAATGAATAAAGTGTCATACCGAAGTTATTATCAGTTGATACGCGCGATCTTAGCAGCATCGTTATGCGGCATCCTACGCAGAATATCATCGACAAAAAATTACGTATGCTGTTGTATTTAGCTCAAGAAAACCGTACATTATTGAGCAACGTCCGTTTCGTCAACGTTTTCTTTGAAATATCGCATTCTTTTATCACGATATATAATGATGGATAATGAGTGTCGCGACGATACGCCTTTCGTATCGAAGATGAGAAACGAGCACGTTTATTTAATCATATATGAGCCACTTATTTTAAAATTTCATTACTCAAAGGAATCATCATCATAAGTGAAAATTTGTAAGAGTTGACTTACAATATGTCATTGGTAGTTCATACACAGAGAACATTTTTTCTTAGAGTTTATCCTGAAAATATGATAGTCATGACAACTTTGCATTTCGAAGAATTTTAATATTAATTCATTAATAAAACTACAATAAAGTATAAAATAAGTTTGATTAATTTTACCGAAGGGGATATATTATATCACAACTACCATATTTTCAGAATAAATTTTAAAAGAAAATTCTTTTCGTGTACAAAAGAATTCATAGAGAAGCATGTATCGCTCATTTACTTATACAACAACGATATAGTTCAAAAATTGTCATTATTACTTATAAAAGAAGCAGTTGTTTGTAAAAAAAAAGAATGGGAATTAATATAAAGAAAAAAAAAACATATTTTAAAAGTACATTATTATTCCTGTACAATCAGTTATTATATTCAAATTATATTTCGGAAATAATATTCTAAAGTTTTAATCATTCAAAACTTATTTTCTAGAAAACTTTGAATTGTGTCATTGTTGTATATAATAAGTGAAATGTAATGATAAAAAACATACAAATTAAACAAAATATAACAATATTTTGATACTAAGATTTAAAAAAGTTCAAAATTAATTTTTCACCTATTTAAAGCTTCAATAGAATAATCCAGACAATTCCGGAATGGAGAATACGTAATAATAAGTATAGAAGCGGTATACGCGCAAGCGATAAATTGCTCTCGTTAACGAGAATGAAGGAAACATCGTGTTGACGCGATTGCGCAAAGAGTAGATGGACTTCGCAGAAATTATGTGCGATTCTCGAGAAGAACATTGAAGTCGAAGGCTGAAACTATCTCCGCAGCACTGTTGCTGTAACTATTAGGCAAGAGAAAAACAGGTCGGCGAAAGGTAAAGATAGACGAGGAAAAGCAGTACGCGTAACGCAGCTGTAAAAATGAACTGCTGGAATTAATTGACTCGATATATAGAGAGCCGTATGCTTTGAATTGGATCAAATCCGTTACTACTCCGTAAAACGTGTTTTGATTATACTAGGCTGATATGAATGAACGAAGGAAATGTTTCTGGCTCCTTGAATATATTTAATACGCTCTACTTGCGACGCGAAACCGTTGAAATCCTCTCGATGTTGGAAATACACTGTTCGTCGTGAAAAACAACATATCTTACAACAACGATAATTGTGCATCCTTGATCCGTCTTGGAATGACATGAACGTTTCTTGTGTAAAAAAGAAGTATAAGTTATAGCTATAAATTTAGAAAAGCTGATTAATCTTGTTAATCAGTATAACTTGCGTAATGTAAAAATGAAGTCATCATGTATTATTGGTATATATATATATATTTTTGCGTAGTATCTTTAAAAGAAAAATATATCTTCGATTATCAAATATTATATTATATATTTATTTATCGAAAGGATCTTATTTTACTGAAAATTTTGATACATAAATATATTACGTTGATTAATTATCTTTGTACAAGATAAAATCAAAATGTACTTATGTAAATACTTGTACAATGCAGTAAATTTTTAAAATAAATTTTTTAAATAAACGTATTAAAATTTTTCAAGAAGAAGAATCTTGAAAATTTAAGTTTGTTCGACTTTTATTATGACCAGTAATCAATTTTAATTTATAGAAAAGGCTTTTAATTAAAAAACATCTTTAATTAATTTGCATTTGAAGCACAATTTCATTTCGTTATATTTTATCTTTGAATATTAACTAGACAGTCATTGTACATTCCATATCCGTTTGTTCATTTATTACGAAAATAAATCTAATACAGCGTAATATCCAATATCCTTTGATGATCCCGTTACGTGCTTTAAGACTTGCATTGGTAATCAGTACATCGTCGAAATGAGATTTCTGACTATCGATCATTCTACGAGATGCTCGAACATTATTGCAAGATAAGACATCCAGTTTTGTATGACATTTCCTCTATTACTCGATATATAAGACAAAGTATTAGAGAGGTGTTCTCTAATAAGCTTAATCACAAATAAAAGTTCATCATAATTTATAAAAAAGAGAAATGATAAAAAGCGTGTTGAAATGCTTTACGCCAATATTATTATATGTTACGTCGATCAAAACTAATCTAGTTTTATGATTTTTTATGATTTATGAATTTAAATAACAGATAAAAATAAATCTAATTAAAAGAATTTTTACATTCGGTCAAAACGGATCTTAAAATTTCTGTGCGAATTTTTATAGATATCTGATCTGTAAACAATGCGTCGAAATCTTTTTGAAACGCAATCGTAAGCAGAAGTAGAGTAGTAATATCGCTTATTAAATTGATAAGCGATATTTAATAATTTTTTATGCTAATATAAGCATCTTTATAGAATATTAATAATCAGATGTTAAGAGAATCTTAAATTTGCGAATAATTTTATTAATATTAATGATATTATTAATAATCAGATGTTAATGAGAATCTTAAATCTGCGAATAATTTTATTAATATTAATTTGATGTTAATGAGAATCTATTATCTCAGCCAGAATATGAACCTGAACTTCCAGACGGACGTCATACCAATTCAACCACCGAGGCTGAGCTAATTTTAATTAAGATGCCTGTCACAAGGCATGCTTATAAGGAAATTCAAATTTGAATCTTAGCTGAGATATTTTTCGCAATAAATTCTTGATAATATTTCAAAGATGCTCATTAGTATTATTAAATCGCTTTGCTTATCAATTTACTTTGTAACATTATATACTCCAGCTTTTTTTAATTTAAGACTATATTTTTACTATAGGATTGACAAATAAATCGGGAAGAAGTTTGCTTGAACTTGTAAGATTCATACAAAAATATTATCAGACATCAATATCTGTTTTAATCGAATATGATCTTTTTCGCTTATTTGTGTTAACCTAATTTTCTTTCTTCACATATATTATTAATGTTATTAATATTACAGATATAAAAAGAAATAGTAAAAAGTTACTATATATAAAATCTTCATTGAACATTATAAAAGCTTCATTGAACTTAGACAGCGTTTCCTCTTTTTCCGATACAAACTCAAAAAAATGTTCAGGTCAGCTTATCGATCACGCCAAGTTCGCGAAAAAACTCGGTAGCCTACATAGCCACAAAATGAGTCACGTATATGAGAAGCAGGGCTTAATTAATAAAACTGATCACGCGCGCCGGACAATGACTCACCGTCAGGATTGGTGAAGTATCCCCAGGTGGGAGTCGCAGTGGTCGCCGATTGCACGACCAGAGCCACGACGCTCAGGGCCAGAGCGCCGGCGGCACCCCGTGCCGCGACGGCGCGTTTTTCGCTCCGCTGCGGATCGGTAGTCGTCGTGGCGATCGCCCTTACGCCTTGACGAGTGTTTGAAGAATTGGTTGCCATTCTTCATGCCGTTCGTATTCTTCGATAACGTTCTGCCAGCTTTACATCGATGACGAGTTTACGACGAGAGTTCTCTGCGTTGTCGCGGATGTGAATTGATCACGTTGATGTCAATGGCTTTGGTATCTTCATCGATAATATCGTATGCGATTTATAGAGATTTGCATGAATCGACGAACATATCCTATTAAATCCTTTCTCAGCTTGGAGATATCAATTTATTACAAAATGAATTTTTTTAACGTCATCAATATGTCGATATATTATTAATATATTATTAATATATTTTAAAATGTGATCGAAAATCAAATGTTTCAAATATCGGCACGATTCGATACTCTTGACAATCGATTTTTCCATTTAAATGCTCAAAGTTGTGTTCATTGTTATTCATCGTTGAGAAGTAAAATATCTTTATCTTCTTTTAATATAGATTCTGTTTAGATTCTTCCGATTTTTATTAGAAATTATAGACTAGAGTACGATATATATCCATATTCTGGATATAAACGAATTAGTAATCTAAATTTTGTCGACAATCAATCTTATTTTTACTTATTTCTTCTTGAAGATTCGCTCGATTCGTTGATAACAATACAGTTTCGATCCTTCAATCGTGAAGCATTCTCAGCATTTTTTACTGTCTGTCTTTGACTTTGATAGTAAACTCAACGATTTTTGATAAATGTTAGCTTCTTCAGGTGTCAAGTAGTTTCTTCAATCTTCAGATGTCATCAGGTAGTTTCTTCAATCCCGAACGTCGTCGTCGTCAATACAGTCGATAATCGAATCGTGTCGACCGCGTTATCACGTACATACGCACGGAATCGATAAGCCGGTAGCCTGAAAAAAGAAGGGGTGACAGAGGTGGTGGTGGCTGATGGCTGGAGTTCGAGGGAATAAGGTGCGGCAGAGTGCATGAGAAGTGCGTATTGAATTAAGCGAATTTCACATTCTATGACATTGTTTCCTCGTATCTTCCTCTTTATTCACATATACACACACAGATACACATATACGCACACACACACATACGCGCACACACACATACACTCAAAGCTTTGAATCAGATATCACAATGAATTTGTTTGTTGAATCTTTTATGTTCTATCCAATTTCTGCTTTATCTATAATTCCTGGAGTTGTCACATACCTTTGAATACTTTAGGAATCTCATCCAAGAGAATTTTTACTTCAAAGTGCCTGATAAGCATATATTTCTCTATTCCTTTCTTTTCTTACTCTATCTCTGCAACAAAGATAGACATATACGTGTCTTTATTATCTGTATACGTATTTCTTCTTCCCTCAAAAACCCTTGGCGAAAGCTATCGGTTTTCTTCGTACTCTTGTAGATTGTGTGGACTCTGTGAAACCGGTTTTTGCGGTGTGTAAAGCGGCGTTGCTAAAAATAAGATATCTTCTTTCTCTTTCTTTCTCTATTCCTTTCTATCTCTGTTTCTCTCTCTTCTTCTTTCGCCACTCCGTTTTATCTCCGTTTCTTTCCTTCGTCCTTTCCCTCTCTCTCTCTCTCTCTCTCTCTCTCTCTCTCTCTCTCTCCCCCTCTCGCTCTTCTTTTCTCTCACCCTTCTTCCCTTCTACTTTCTTGCGTTTGTTTCTCTCTTCCTCGACTTTGATTCTCTTCGCGTTCCGCTTCGAACGTTCCGGAGGAAGGGGAATGAAGATACCGGATCGCGTGCGATGCGCGCTAAAGCGATCGTTGGACGACGATCGATTCCGTCGATCACCGTCGCGTCATTAACGACGTTCCATTACTAAATCACCTGAAAGATTTCTTTCCTCCACTCGCATCGTCTTCAACGCATGTTTTCCCTCGCGCGTGTGTTTTCGCTTTCTCTCTCTTTCCCTTTTCCCTGTTTCTCGCCAACCCTTTCTTCGAACGTATTACAAAAACGTCGCGCGACTCTCTCTCAACATCACCGGCGTAGTTGAACGAGTTGGGATCGTCGGTGAACCCATCCACCTACTCGTCACGCCGCTCCTGGAGGTCACGCGTTGTCCGTTAGGTTGGATTGGCTGGTAGCACAGGCCGCTTGCTATTCACCGAGTCGACTATAGTGCCGCTATAGTTATCGATCGCTTGCGGATATACTCGCTTCATTTTGTGCCACATCTCAGGCCTACAGGAGGTAGGTTTCGTAATGCGCTCCGATCACATTCACGTACGTTCGTTTGTTCACACGCGTTCCTTTCTTCCTACGCTAGTAGCTATTACGCGCCTGTAGCGTGCACTGTACACTGTACTCAATGTACGGGTCGGTTCCAATATCACTCAATTTTCCCGCTCTTTCCTGCGATAAACTCGCGACACTTGTGCGCGCACCCATTCGCATCGGTTCAATCACTTTCGCCCGTGTGTCACCGTGTCACCCGTCGCGTGTATATGGGTCACGCAACTCGAGTCGTTGTCACGCGCAGACGTCGCACTGACGCATCGATATACTCTTCTTTCCCGCACGGAAAAGAAGACGAGTATGTACATATCTTCTTCGCGTTACCTGCGCCCGTGTTTCGTGGAGCAGCGGTACTCGCGAGCGGCGGCACTCCGTTAGTCAACTCGGTGCACTCGGTGCGCGGCGCGACGGCCGACCACGACGTGTCCTCCACGTACCTGTCTGCCGCTGTGCGCGAGTAGTCATGCATAAAAAAAAAGAGAGAAATCACGTGCACATGTGTATATACACATATATATATATATGTATATATATATATAATATATGTGTATGTGTATA